TCTCCATCCAATACTAAAAGATGTAGAAGGAAACAAAAAATTCGTTTCAGTCACAGACAAAAAATTATTTGTCTAAAAACAATAAATTGTCGATGAGACAGGAAGAACCCGAATATTTTTTGCTGAAAGAATATTTTAAGAGAAAATATTTGGCTTTCCTACTGCGTTTGAATTCCATATGATTATTAGGTGTATGGAAAAATCACACTATTCAAATTCTCCCCCCCAAAAAAAAAACCCGAGTTTCCTATGAAAATAGAATGGACAATCCTAAATAGATTATTAGGTATTATAGAGGATCAGAAGGGCATTTCACACCTGACCATGTCGAGAGGCTCCCCATGAATGGAAATGAGGCACATTTTGCCGTTTCCCTTGCGCAGTCGATGAATATTTTCTATTTTGGCCCCATGAGTGAAGTATACATCATCGTATTTTTTTTTATTCTCTACCTGTGCCCTTTATACTACCTCAAGAGCATCCTTCTGCTATTTTTCAAGAGGAAGTTGGAGCACCGGTTTATCTATGCAACTCGAGACTGATCACACCTATTGAGATTTTAAAATTGAAAGATCCATGGAGAAAAGCAAAATAGGAAATTTCAAACTCCCATTGACAGCAAGAAAGCATCGGAAAAGTTAGGAGACATGTTTTTATTTAAATTGGGGGAGTGGCAATTGACATTGTCAAATGTCTTTTCTAATTATGATGATCATCAAAAATCAGTTAATCATAATGAATGTCAATGTCAAATTTGATTAAGTCGGGAAATTCATTTATTTTGATATTCAACAATATAATAAATTTAGTATGAAAAATCGATAAAAGACAGGCAATTAGCACATTAAGGCCATTTGATGATTTCATCATAATAATCAATATGTTGGTATTATTTGGGTTTTGTTTTATTTCTGGAAAATCCCACTTGACAGTCTATTAGCGGCCTAATTGCTAAATACTTAATTTATATGTTTGTCGATTTATGTTTGTTTGAGGATAGATAGATGGTGAAATTAAAAAATCGAATAATTTTTAATGGTTATCCATTTCATCCCATATTATTGGGTGTCCATATTATCGCATCGTCCTTTACACGGAGAGAAAAATACTGGAAAAATTACGGAACATTTACGTAAAAATGGGGTGGCCTTGGTTTTTAGGGAAAAGTACTGGAGGTACCGTAAAAATTGCCCGGAAAGTTTTGTCAAAATTCCTGCTCGCTAGGACGTAAGTGTTACTCTTGTCATTAAAAAACTATGCATTAATTAAACAATTAATTAATCATGACAAATTCTCCGGGTTTGGTTTAATTTTTCTAACAGCTTCTGAGAAAGAAAAAATGGTAAAACTCTTGTGCATAAAATTTGAAGCTTGCAATTCCGTTTAATATTAATGGTAATATTTTGTTAATGACGGAAAGGCTGAGAAGTTTGATTCACCAATAATAATACTCCCTCTAAGTCTTCTGTTTTGATGATGCAGGCGAATGGATCCTTTGACGTTAAACCACAACGTTCGAAGTAACATAGACCGAAGCTGGGACAAAGCCCTGCAAAAGTCTTTCACCGATATCGCTCCAGTGAAGCCTCATTCAATGAACGAAAGCAATTTGTTAAATATAGCTTTGATGTTCTCCATACCAGGCGACAAACACTGATGACTTACTAGTGACCCAGCGAGTGAACGATTTAAAAGATTTACCTTGATGTTGAGTAAACACCGAACCAACAATATATTTCCACATATACTCCGAAAAAGAAAGATTGTTATTAAGGATTCATTAACTTGAAAGAAGTATGCATTTTCAGAAAAAAGTTATTTTCGTCACTATGTGCCTGAAAAGTGACTTTCCACCACATTACGAAGAAAAATATTTTTCGCAACTCGTGCGGAAAGTTATTTTTGGCATGTGAGATTATACCACTTGCCTGCGACTCGTGATATAAACTCCCACGAGCTAAAGAACCATTTTCTGCACATGTATCGAATAATTTTTCTCATCACAAAATATGGATTAAGTGATTTACTTAATTTTGCGCACTTTTGGAAAAGACGAAATTCTCCACGTATGCCTGTAAAGTCACTTTATCCGTACAGAGTGATGAAAATTACTTTTCGCCACTTGTTATGAAATATACTATTCTGCTGGTGCTCTCGATTAGGTGCTACATGTTAACTTATAGAGAAAAAATTGTAGAGAAAATACTTTCATATTTACTCTGTATCTGATACATTGTTTTGATCTCGACTTAGCAACAGAATTCCATACCGATGACACGTGTTTACCATACACCGCACTGTCCTTGTCGTAGGACACCTTCGATATAATTCGTAGTAATTCGGACACCTTCGGGGAGATGAATATTGCCGTCACACTCACGTTCCAGCTCTCATGGTGTAAACCACGCTAATCCCCTGTAAATAAATCTATTCTATTTTCGACATTAAATCGAGAGCCGTATCATTATTAATTCCACTAAACCTACACCAAACCCCACAAAAATTTATCTCGTAGGAAATATAAGTTAATATCTTAAATTAACTCATTTTATACGACAAAACTGTATAAAAAATATGCTGGCTGTCTCTTTTTATTAAATTTATTTTAATAAATTAGAGAAACAATTACCAATATCAAAGAATTGCGTGAATTTTTTTCTCCTGCAAAGATTCGGTGTTGAAAAAAAAAAGATAATAATCAGTGGAGTTTACGAAAGACATATCCCAGATAATCATTCGCCAAAGTAATATCATAATTATTATCGAAGCCTCATCGAAATGGCTGAGAAATTACTCAATTGAAGAAATAACTTTTCGAAGAAATACATAATTCTCTCAAGTAAATGAATCCTTGTAAAAATCATGCTTTTTTCTAGACCGCTAGCTAGAAAGCCATTTTCTAGGAATCATCTTTTGGGATTTTCTGGAGAATTTCGAGGTGTTTTACGGGTTATGTGGACACAGGGTCATCGGGGATGGGGCCTGGAGAGGGTGGAAAGGTGTTGGAAAAATATACCAAAGAGTTTTAACGCCACAACTTTTGTTATTCTCCAACGTGAGAACCATGGAAACCCTCATGAGTATCATTTCACGCGGTTTCTGAACATTTAACAAATAGCGATTTGCTGAATCATTCGGCGATCTCCACATTTCGAATGCCAGAATGATTTGTCTGAAGTGGTAAGCTAAACCTTTTAAAAATCAATTTCTAAAATTAAACACGAACTGATCTTTCGATTAGATTTACGATTAGAAAATCGTTCAATAAGTTTTCGAAGAGAATCTTAATATTGGATAAATATTTGCAAACATTTTTTTTTCATTATTGACTCACCAAAATTCTCGGAAGGGTTGACTTGGATGAGAACTAGTTATTAAGTTCCAAATAATACTCGGAGTCAATTCATGTTAATTTTGTTAATTAATTCTCTAATTATCCCCTCACCAAATCTTCGAAATTTTCTCCGTAAGCCTCTGTTGAAAATCTTTATTCGAAACCGCAAATATTTGATAATTATTTTCTCAATTTTAATAGAAATTTCAATAGACCCATTTAAGTATCCAGGGGTTAATGAATATCTTCATTGTTAATATGTTTCTTCTTTTGATTTCTATAATATCAAAGTCAATTATTTTTTGAGTTTCTGGATAGTTTATGCGCGGACGGGAATCTCTTGAAATAATTGTAATGCCCTAGTAGAAAAAGACGAAACGCAAAATTCCGACTAGGGAATGAAATTTCTGTACCGGCGCTGCCTGGAAAGACAATAAATTCAATAAAAAAATACGTGAATGTTTCGTAATTTACGAGTAATAATAAAGTTTCCATAAAAATTACGAAACGTGAAAAGTGAGTAACTAATAAATATTCCTTATAGATCATTCCGTATTTATACCGCACTCAAACTTCATGATTCGTTATAATCCAAAATATTCCAAACAATCTAATTAAAGATCATAAATAATTGTTAAAACTGAATCTGCAATTGACCCGTATCCTTTCTGTAATTTACCGCTGTTTTTTTTAAGATAAAACTTCCTCTCGCCGGGTGTTATGATAACTCACCATTTTTGCCAGGACTAAAAAAATTAATCTATCCCTCGCCAGGAAGAAAAACTCAAATATATTTCTATCGAAAAACCCACAACGGACAAGTCGGATAATCCTGATGACGGTCCACTCGAAATGTTTCCCATTATCCCGGATTGTCCCCAAGAATTAATGGCCGATAAACATAGGATAATTACCACCTTAAGCACCAGGTGACTGTTAGGTACTAATTCCAAGAGGGAGCGAGTCAACCAACAAATAATAAAAAAAAAGGCAACCTTAAAAGACAAATTTTGCTTGCTTACGCGTATTGCATTCATAATGCACTAAGATATCCCGCAAAATCTTCATTAAAACCATCTAACGAATTGAAATTGTTGACTGTCCGAAGCATGTAGAATGACATTAGAAATTTCTCGAAGGAGATATTCGTTAAGAATTCAACTAGACAATTCAAACAATGAAGAATCCTAAATACCGCATGAAAGCCCCCATGTCTATTTGCATACACTAATGGCAGGCAACTTCTATTATCACTGTTACGAATGGACAAATGGATTTCCCAACCGCATTCGAGAGACATAATCGCCATCAACGTCAACTCCTAACGCATATCTATGCGTCTGAAACCAAGAGTTATTCCACATATTGTTGCCAATTTTACCTTCAAATGCCACCTGATTTAATACCAAATGAATATTGAAATGTGATATTGATTTTTGTTGACAGTTATATTTCGTTTATATTCACTACGAATATAAATGAGTAAATTTGCGTCAAACGTTTGATTGACACTAGATATGAAATCATCCCCTGATAATCCTCTCAGTATCCCTATTGCACTGGACAAATAATTCTCCTTGTAAATGAATTAATTAAAAATTATTATTATTTATTCAAGTGTGGAGTGAAGCCCGGAATAAAAGAAAGACAAAGATCATTCGTGGGAACAGACTTTTATTGAATCACCGATATCAAGCCGGTGATACTCCTTATCACTCCTCCTATGCATCTTGCCATTTCGTCTTCCAATCTGACTACGAGAACGCAAGGACATTCATTTTTCACATAAACATACGAAGAAATCCGTTATCTCATAAGGTTTTGTTATTAATTTTGGATTTTCAATTCTTCGACCAGAATTCCTCCCGAATTACACAATCAGGATTTTACAATCATCAATTACAATTATCATTACAAGCTAATATATTACACTGAGTTTTATATTACACTTTGAACATTGGAGATCATCATCAAAAAAAAAGGATTTATGTACACCGAATTCCGTTACTCATTATCTACTGTGATCTTATCAAGTATAAAAAAGTCTATACGCTGGAGCTAGAAGTTGCGTTTGCCTGGATGTAATAATTCCTCACGTGAAGATGATTGTGAAGATGAATAGCGGATAGGGGTTGGCCAGATGGCCTGAGGGCCGTCGGTGAATTCCAATCACAGTGACTGCTAGGTGATATCATTTTGCTGTCAGGACTAGCACTGGGGGTGCCAACGGGTGACGACAAGGGGTTCGTCTCAGCGACAACGTCTACATCAACATCGACATCAACGTCAACATCCTCCTCTTCTTGATCAATCTGATCCACCTCGTGTTCTGATTCACTGCAGCTGAATCTCCTGACTTTGGCAGCTCTTAGCAGCGAAGATTCTGAGTTCTGGTCATCAGGTGCTAGAAGACTGGCAACATCGAATTGCCGTTTCCGCGCCGGCTGAAAGGAACTCCTCATCGACGTCTGACTGTGAACCTGGCGATGTTGATTGTGAGTTGGAGATGGTGACTCAGGTGACAGCTGCTGGGGCGTTTGATGATGCGTCTGCTGGGAGACTTGATGATGATGATGAGGACTCCAGATTGCCGATAGCGCTTGTGGATTGACTGGTCCAACAAGTGCCGCCGGTGGTGGAGTTGGTGGTAACGGTGGTGGACTAGGACTGTCTGGCTCCTCTTCGACGGCCAGACCCATGTGACGACGGACTTTCCTCTGGGCCTTGCGTCGCCGAAAGTCTCCTCTTCTGAAGTCTTCAAGATTCGCTGGATGAATGGCCCAATAGTGACCCTTTCCATTGGCACTCCTTCCCGATTTCACAAAGCAATCATTTAATGATAAATTATGTCTTATCGAGTTCCTCCAGCCGGGCCCGCGGGATCTGAAGTACGGATAGTGCTCTAATATGTGTTGATAAATATCCGACAACACCAATTTCTTATCAGGTGACGACAGTATCGCCATTGCAATTAGCCCGATATAGCTGTGCTGAGGCTTGGGTTCCTCTGGAATTCTCGGATGATGAGGATGAAGCAAAGCCATTGACAAAGCTAATCTGCTGGGATAACCAGCGGCTGCCGCTGCCGCTGCGGCCGCCGGATAGAGAGGCAGCGGTGCTGGAAATCCAGGTGACATTCCTAGATGTGACGTTGGTCCTCCCGAATTGGGATGACCCACTCCAGGATGTTGTGGATGTAACTGCTGAACAAGTCTCAAACGTTCAGCCATGGCATAATGATAGAACTGAAGCCTATAATGCTGCTCCAGACCCGGCAGAAATCCAGCCATTGGATTACCAACCCCCAGACCAACCGCCAGAGGCTCCTTCGCCGGCGGTGGACTCTCGTTACTGCACATTCTCCTAAAACCTTCACCCTTATCAACCTCCACTTTGAAACCACCGAAACTTTTAAACTCTAACTGTCATTCGTCCCAGCAACGGAATTCCACAGTCACCTTGTCAATAATTCAAACAATCTTCACACATTCAGTAACTGCACATTGCCAAACTATAAATAAAAATTATCCTCTCACAGCTTGATCACACACTGAGATTGATGGATATTTGGCTCGTATCGCGACGTGCGAGCGACTGGTCATGATTTACGATCTTCACCAAGTAGAACCTTCCAATGCTGGTGCATCCCCACTCCATCAGCATAACACCAAGGAGAGGCTACGGTTGGTCGAGTTGTTACGCCCCACTCTCCTCATCTATTCCAACGGCAACAGCAGGCTGGATGAATCCCACAGCTAGGTGAACACCAAGCTCTCGACCAATAGAAATTCCCACTGGGTGTGGCCAACACTGGCATTTCAGGATACGCCCGTACACCGTTTCGAGATATTGATCTCAGGCTCTGTTGCACGTTCAAACAGCCCAAGTGATGCCTGTGGGGTCGTCATCTCGTGGTGGCGTGATCACAATGACGACACCCTACCTATCTCTCTTATCACTGAAGGGGACGAAGGTTTCCATTTCACCGGTGCGTGTTCTGGAACGGGTATCCAACCGAAAATAGATAGCACTGGTGAAGAATCATATTAAATCAGTATAGCCTAAGCTCTCCAATCTGCACACCAAATCTCCCGTTAATTATTTATCACAAATCTAGACGATCGCTGTAGGTCATTGTGACGCAGCACAGAAACTTTAACTCGCATGTTTCTATTATAAAAAGAACAAACATCAAGATTATCGATATCTCGAAACTCCGTCACACTAATTCCTCATTGGTTCAGCCATCTGAGGCAACAAATCCTAATTCCGAAGTTATTCAATTTTTATTTTTTCAATTAGAATTTTTATAATAAGAGGGCGTTAAGGTACGCATTCGCTCAAACCAAGCAGCCATGTTTTACCTTGTGACCTCAAAGATGGTGATAAACACAGGGGGGAGATAAAAGGTAGCTTCTAGCTCCACCTTGAGGGGTAGCCAGCGCTGCTTTCCCACCTTTTGCTTTCATTCCTTCTGACAAAACCTCCGTTATGCCTCCATATGACAAAAGGTATGTCATGCTGGTTATTTTTAAAAGCATCAATTGGGTGCACACGTATGGGGCAATAGGTGTGCAGCTGGGGGAAAGGGGCGGGGGGAGGGGGGGTAACCCGCCCCGCAACTGTTTGTAAGCATCCGCCATGCTGGTTTCATATCTGCTGGACGCACACAACTTTTCCCATCAACACAATTTACATTTTCCATATTGGGGTATATGCTGGTGAAGGGTTGTCGCATATACTCTTTCCAATCCCCGCTACGTGCGAATATTTCGTTTTTTTTTTTTCTTCATGAGTGTGTGTGGATGTGTGAATTGAGAGTATTTGAAACATGTCTCTTTTTATCCTCAACAAATGGCATCAGTGAATGCACCGAGGGACACCGGAAATACAATGACGACACGTCCCATGTACCACTCTGGTGTACAATGACTGTAATGCCTGATATGAAACACAAAAAAAATATTTTCAGCTCATGCATGTTAACGCGTCTTTTGGAAGACTCACGATTTTCCGTTGAGATCTTTCCGGTTGATCTTTATCGGCAATTTTCACACAGACATCGGGATGAGTTTTCTCGGGAGGATGAATTGTAACACTTGGACATTGGGCGCTTCGAAATAACTGGATTCCCTTTTAGGTGAGATTTCATCGTGAAAAGTAACTCTATATTTAGTCCGATCAGATATCCCACTGAGTGTGTATATTCACCGGCGATTTTTCGCACGACAACAAACTTATCGGTGGATAAAGATCTGGAGCAAGGGAAAAAACACAAATAAATGAAGGGGGATGGAGTCGGTAGGAAACAGGAACCCCGTCAAAACACAATTGAGGTCCATCTAAATCGAGATCAATCGATCAGCGATGGGTGGGTTATACAGAGAGATATATGGCTCCTCTACCTGCTCCATAAATTTTCAATAACCAATAATGCCAGAGCCTGGAAAAGCGGTTGGAGCTCTTCTTCAGTTGAAAATTGGAATGAAACCAAAGCAACCTTAAGCCATTGTGATCGTCAATGTGAATGGCTAAAACGTTTCTCGCGTCTCCCGCTCGTAATGGAGATAATTGTGACAAAATGGAGCGTCATTGTCATTGTGGCAGTGCCTGTGGAGATGCTATACTGTTGCACGAGGGCACAAGAGGAAGAGACACAAAAAAAAAGTGCTTGAGGAAAAAAGTGAGAACTCACTATAACAATCCGAGTCTGGCACTTTTCCCCACTTCTGTGGACAAGAGTAAGTGGCAGATGCATTGCTGCTAGTTGACAGGTTCTCCGGTTACTCCATAATGCTCATTGCTACAACCAAAGCCACCAACACCTAAACCGCAGTCCATAAGGTTTATAAAACCTTTATTGTGCAATTTGATATGATGAACCAGAAGGAATCGACTTTCAATCATAATCACTTTAATCCTCGCATTGTGGAGTTGTGTTGCTTTTTGAATGTTGGTAAATTAGACTCTGATGTTCTAGGAGGTGAAACCAACTGACCGACTGTTTGGTCAGGAGGAATGAGGCTTAATAATGAAACCGAGGAAACAGAGAGATCTCTCATGTTTCAACAACCCTTTCTGCTCTGGCTGCTTGGTGGGGCTAATGAAGGATGGCTTAGTTTGCGTCTGCGCTTGGCTGTTTTGTCAGATGTATAGTTTTGACCCCTCCTGATAAACTCTGTTCTACGATACTCGGCTAACTATCAACAACCCTCGGCTTTGTGAATATAGTCTAACGTGGTTGCGATCAACCGGGACTAAACACTGGGCTTCGATGCCACAGACAACTTGCTAAAGCTTCTGTTCGGTGGAAGTTCGTGAGCTGAGTATTAGAGCATCGGTTAATCTCGGGGAATGTTACTGATTTTTATCATCAGGCGATCCGACTTTAGATAATAATGACGATTACTAGGAGTTATTCTCATTTCTTCATAATCCTTCTTACCCATGGGGGCAGTTGAGTCACTCATACGCTGAGAAAAAAAATTATTTCCCGCAAGGATTCATTTATTTGAGAGAAGTATGCATTTTTTTTTAATTGATTCAAACATTTCCAGGCTTTCTCATTAAGTTTTAATAATAATCAATATGAATTTATGGTTATTCATTTTCTTTAAATACAGAATTTTAGATGAAGACATTGACGGAATGTTTAAATATTAATAATTATTTTGTCCAATTTATTCAAGCTCATCCAATGCAATAATGCAATAATCGTCTAGGTGAAAATAATAATTATTATTAAAACTTAATCGTGATCACCTTGAGGAAGTTTTTATGAAAATACTTTTCTCAAATGAATTGTTAAAAAACATGTAAACAATAATGTTCAGCAATGTTGTCAGAGAATTCTGTAATTTGTGTCTGGATATTTTGATTGAAAAATTGATGACGTAAATTTTGATGACGTAAATTGTTTGAGTCATTTCGGTAACTGGGAGAATGTGAGTTCTACAATTTTTATTGAATATTTCCCTTCGTGTAGGCGTGGTTCACGATAAAATAATCTCCCAGAATGTACAAGATAAAATGATAGAGTGATAGAGCTAAAGAGAGGTCCATTAGCTTTGACGCTTGTTTCAAAGGGATGCTCTTCAGTATCGTGTACTAGAGTGTTTCCTAAGCATTGCCCCCACATCACCATCTCCCAAGCTCCAAGCCCCTCAGACAAGTTACCGCCGATTAAATATTCATCATTTGTAAACTCGAGTGAAGCCCTCCGACGTTATTTCTCCCTGCTGATCGATTCTGATTTGTCAATTATTTTCAACCAGTGAATTTCAACCTATTTATCAATCCACATGGAGAATTTCTTTGGTCACTGGAGCATGAATAGATCCGAATAATAACAAAATAGCTGTTGGGGTGTCTTCAGTGCTCGTGTCAAAAATCCCAGCAGGGGTTGGCATTAATGTTTACACCTCTTGATTCGAATTTCAGGGGTCGAGTTAAACGAGGCGAAATGCAAACTTTAATTCTGGACACTTTGGTGGACTCTGGATGCTGGAAGGGGGATATTCTTTGTGTTCTCAAGAGGGCACGAGACTCATGGTCAGCCTCCAACAGCCCTTGAGAGATGAAAACATTTTGTCAAGTGACAAATTCACTCAACCACATATTCAAGGCTTTTCATCATTCGGTTCTTTTTATTTTGAGATATTTCAATGCCGGAAGTAGAGCTGGACCTAGTGACGCCTACATCCCAATCGGTAGAATTCCAAAAGCGGTTAAAACGTGACCGTTTGGCTGAGTAACAGGATTAACGAGTGAGATTAGATTGTTCGAGATATTTCAGTGCTTGGTGGTTACCTATTCTCAATGCTGGGATTTGTGGCAATATTTTGGGTGTTTAGCTTTGTGTCAAGACAGTGGGTCCATTGTTGTGGTGGCTGGAGGAGCCTTGGGGCGTGGTCACTAAAAAATTACAAAGAAACCAGATGAAGAGCCTCTTTTATTTGTCAGCATTAATCTCACTTTATTTGTAGGCTTTTTGGTGCTTTTCAAATTTTTCCAATTATTTAACTCTTTCTCCTGCCCTTTTTTATAAAGTCCAAATCGGAAAAGTACTAGACAAATCTGTGGTAAAGGATTCTGATAAAAAATTATGTGATACTCTTTCAAATGCCATAGCTCACTCATTTATCATTATAAAATTGAATTTATTATGTAATCTAATTTGTTTCATCATGCGGTGCTGAATTACACTGTTTTTTTTTTTTTTATATTTCAGCATTATCAAAAAATATGCTGTTTCCTCAGGATCTTCCATTACATTCATTTTTGCGGTGACATGGGCCAACTTCCTCGTCAGAAGTGTCGCATTTACCCCAGGAGCTGTACTCCATACTCTCCTGGTGACTAAGGGAAACCATGGAATTTATTATTTATTTATTAGTTTACACGGCGCCCATCAACCAAGCTTCATCGGGAAATAATAATTCTCGATGATTTTTGGTGTCCGGACTTCCGTTCGACGGTTTCCGAAAGATTAAAATTCCATTGCCCTAAGCCGGACTCGAACCCGCGCCTCACGGGTTTCGACGTTCGGCCAAGTGATTGAACCGATCGCCCTACCAATAGCCA